TTTCTCATATTCAAAACCCTAAATTTCAAGAGAAGTGGGTTTTTCTCTTGATTTCTCCTTTATTCTTTATTTCAAAACTTTAGTTTTTCGTATTGAATAACACCATGGTATTTATGATGATCTCTTGTTAATTTTTCTTAAATTGTTCCATTATGAAATAAATGTGGATTTGGATGTGAAAAATTGGGAATTTATGGAATTGAATGTGTTTGAGAAATTATTGGTGATTGTATCTCATGGAGGTGTTTGGATGACCATGGGTGGCCATTGACCGGATATAGTAGAGTGGGTAGATGTGTGTGGTTCTTACTCCGTGTGAGTTTGAACTTTTTCTACCACTCATAGTGGAGTTGGTGTCTTGCGAGAACCAAACCATTATTAGCTTACGGGTGTCGTGTCAGAGGATTAGTATACTATACTTGGGTTGAATTCGTTATTGCCGGTGTATTGGTATAGGACAATGCATCGGTAGGCGTCCTTCCGAAGTTGATATCCTTGCGAGGAATTGTGTGTGGGGGGGCNTTTTTCTACCACTCATAGTGGAGTTGGTGTCTTGCGAGAACCAAACCATTATTAGCTCACGGGTGTCGTGTCAGAGGATTAGTATACTATACTTGGGTTGAATTCGTTATTGCCGGTGTATTGGTATAGGACAATGCATCAGTAGGCGTCCTTCCGAAGTTGATATCCTTGCGAGGAATTGTGTGTGGGGGGGTCAAGATATTCTCTATGTGTTTATTTATGCGATTATCTTACATCAGACTTAAGATACATTGTGATTATTGTTTATTGTGTTATCTTTTAGATATGATTATCTTAAAAATTATTATGGAAATAATTACTCTTTGGAATAGTTATTNGCATCAGACTTGAGATATATTGTGGTTATTGTTTATTGCATTATCTTTTAGATATGATTATCTTGGAAATTGTTGTAGGAATAATTACTCTTTGGAATAGTTATTTATGGTGGGATTGACTTTACTCTTGCACTTAATTATTGTTAATGTATAAACTTGAGATCTTTGAAAATGTCATATTTTCTTTCAAAATTTACGTATGCTATTTGTGAAATGAGATCGACCATTTTTTACGTTTTTCAAACCTTGTTAGAGTTTGAGAGGATTTTCCTACAATGCTTAGTGCTCACCTCCTACCAATAATGTTTTTTTTTTTTAGATTTCGTGCTAGAGGAAGATCTCGGCGTTGACAAGCCGGAAAATTGGGAGGTTCCACCAGTGGGAAACCTAGATCCCGAGGTGGACATTTAGAGTTATAGTTTATTTTTGTGTTAAACTAAGGAATTTATTTACAATCATGTATAGTCTAGTATTTTGTTTATTCCGCTGTTAAGTTTGAGTGTAATTCTTTTGGAATCNTATAGTCTAGTATTTTGTTTATTCCGCTGCTAAGTTTGAGTGTAATTCTTTTGGAATCTAAGTGTCATAGCTTGACCTATTCTTTTGGGATGATATGATGGATATTACATGTGGTGAATAAAATTTTATTATTTTATGGGTAAATGGACCCNTTATTCCGCTGCTAAGTTTGAGTGTAATTCTTTTGGAATCTAAGTGTCATAGCTTGACCTATTCTTTTGGGATGATATGGTGGATATTACATGTGGTGAATAAAATTTTATTATTTTATGGGTAAATGGACCTTGTGTGATCAATATTTATTCATATCAGGTTATATTTTGAGTAGAGCTCCCCGTACAAAGGAGACTCTGCTCGAATTTTATTAAATTAAGGATCCCAAATTTTTGGAGTGTTACAAGTGACCATTAAGATCGTGATCTAACGATTTATATAAAAAGTATTTACTATAAACTATGGCTACAAGAATTTTCATGATCACACTATTCTATATATATTTAGCTATTTAAGTCAATAAATTTAATTTAAATAACACTATTTTTTAGAAAAGATACTTGGTGAATATGACCAAATCACAAATGATACTTAGNTATAAACTATGGCTACAAGAATTTTCATGATCACACTATTCTATATATATTTAGCTAATTAAGTCAATAAATTTAATTTAAATAACACTATTTTTTAGAAAAGATACTTGGTGAATATGACCAAATCACAAATGATACTTACTGGAACAATGAATCAGATTCTGATTCCAATCTAATTAGTTGGATATTGACTAATATTTTTTATTGATAATTCGAATTCAAACTCGAACTTGAAATCTTATATTTTCATGGATTTGGATGAAGATATATTTATATCCGATCCAATTATGATCTGAACTGAATTATTTATATTTTTTATATAAATATTAAAAAAATGAAGTAATTATTTAAAAAATTTTAATTAAAATTTAGGTTTAATTTGTTAAAATTTAGTTAAATAAGTTATTTAGATAAGAACATATTTCAAATCAGATTTTAAATTATTAACAAATTTGAATACGAACTACGAAAATATCATTTGTTTAGTTATCAAATTAAATTTTTAAAATTAAATTTAAATTTAGATCGATCAAAATTCGATCTATTAACCATCACAACTATCATCTCCGTAAATAACAGATACAATAATTGGTGGAAATGACAGATTTATAGTTGGTTGCCTACTTGCTTGGTTTGTGTCTTTAGCTCAAANATTTAGTTAAATAAGTTATTTAGATAAGAACATATTTCAAATCAGATTTTAAATTATTAACAAATTTGAATACGAACTACGAAAATATCATTTGTTTAGTTATCGAATTAAATTTTTAAAATTAAATTTAAATTTAGATCGATCAAAATTCGATCTATTAACCATCACAACTACCATCTCCGTAAATAACAGATACAATAATTGGTGGAAATGACAGATTTATAGTTAGTTGCCTACTTGCTTGGTTTGTGTCTTTAGCTCAAAAACTTATGGCCATTAATCTCTCGTCCATAAAAACGAGTTGCTTTCAGTTTAAATATACTATACAATCCTTACTCTGATACAAGCAAATTGAAGTACTTAATCAATCAATGCTTAACATTCACACTAGATACAATTTGACTGGAGTTTAAATAGTTATCTCTGTACACAGATGTTTCCGTTATATTTATGAATAAAATTATTTAGACCTAAAAATTTGACATAATTTACTAATATAATGATGTGGTTTCACGAGAACCATTAGATCAACACCAAGTTTTAATGTTTGATGGACTCCACAGTCAATTCAAAGGTCATAGTGAATTAGATCAGCAAATTATGTCTCAATAGCATTGCTGTATATTTATAAATTAATTTTTTATGATTACGGTTGATGTAACTGGATCAGTTTATGCGCACATCGATTAATTCTCTTTTCGGTCCGATTAAAAATAGACCATCTATATCAAGACTAAAATATTCATGAGGGATAACCACTGTTATATAAAAAAAAAATTCCTATTTTTTATTTTTATTTTTTGAATGATTAAAGTTTATACAAACAAAGATAATAATATGTTCTATTTTTTTAAAAAAAAATGGGTACAATATTTTAATGAGTACTCAATTCTTATTAACAACACTTACACTTAAAATTAAGTATAATAGAAATAATTATTTATAAAAATAGGATAATATGATAAATACAAAGAAAATTTTTTGTCAGAAAAAGCAATGAATATTTTAAATTGAATTATATTATTACCTTTTTATCTTCTTTTTTTTTTTTTTTTGACAAAACCTTTTTATCTGATTAATTGAGGGTATAACGTAAGAATTTTAATTTTGAAGATACAAATTAGAAATTTGAAAATCTTTAAAGGTATGAAATGTTATTAGCCCTTATCTTTATGTCTGGATTCTTCGTTTTTAACACGTCTCTCTCTCTCTCTCTCTCTTTGGCCTCTATAAATATGCCTATGCCCTTCCTCTCCGCTCTCTTCCCTTAGTGGGGTTTCTTTGGGTCTGGGGGAGAGAGGCGGCCCTTTCTGAAGAGAACCCATTTCAAGAAAAAGAATTCAAAGATTTCGAGGATCTGAAAAATACTACACTGATAAAACCAGAGAGATACATACACACATATACTCCTGTAAAGAGGTAGACATCGGGGAGAGAGAGATAGAGACATGTTTGAGACATCTTTCGTTTTCTATTCTTCCTCTATGATCTCCTCTATCTATTCTCGCAATGTCTGCTTGTCATCAGACTGGTTTTTACAAAAGACATATAAAAGTTTTCAAATGCTTTTGTTTTATATATATTTTTTGGGAATCCTTATCTATCACCGGCATGGCTTGCTAATTTTTCTCAGCGACTGTGCATTTTTCTGGGTTTTTCCCTTGATTTTCAAACCGTTCATTCTTTTCAGGGTTGATTTTTTTTATTTTTTTGGATTTCAGAAATTGAAATTGGTGGTTTTGTTTTGTTGTGTTTGGGTATCGTGTTTAATCAGTTTTTTGATTGATCTTTCTAGGGTTTGATCTAGTGGAATGTGCCCTAATTACCGTTTTTTAATCATTGGGGTCTATTTTCAGACCTAGATTACAGAGGGGAACCGAGTATTGGGTTCTTGAAGTTTCTTTAGTAGTGTGAACATCGATCAGTTGAATGTTGCATAGTTAGATTGGGATTGTTTTGGGACTACATCTTGTGGGTTCAGTAGCTCTACTTCTGAGTTTCTATAGAGTGTGTACTAAATCTGCAAAAGAGTTGGTGAAATTGTGTTTTGAACATTGGAATTGGATGGTTTTTAGAATTTGTAGAGCTGGTGTAAAGAATTTATAAGTTTTTTGCATATTGAGGTTATGTTGTTTGTTGCTTATGCCTTAAAAGTTGTTAGTGTTTATGATCAGAAAAGGTCCTAATACTGGTTTTTGGTAATGGACAGGCGGGGAAGGTCTGTTGCTCTAGTAGGATTGTCAGAGAATCAGATTGCTGTGGACCTTTTGATTCATCTGCAGAAATGTTTCTGTTGAGATAATTAGTTCAATGACATAGTAGTTGAGTTGATCAAAACAGTTTTTTGGGTGTTTTCAGTTTTGTGAGTTTTGTAATCCTGTTTAGTAGTGAAAGATCCAGTGGGTGGGATTCGGAAAGTTGGTGCAAGGGTGATTTGAGGAGATATGGAGCAATGCACAAGCAGGAAATGAGTGCAAGGACATGGTGCATGGACAGGAGAGTAGTTTCTGGTCTGTTCCTGTCTTGGAACGAAGGTACCAGGAACTAGGGGGAGCTTTGCTGGTGGTGATAGGTTCCCACTTTGCCATTTCCAGGTTTCCGTGCAATGTCTCGCTGCTTTTCATTTCCTCCTCCAGGATATGAAAAGAAGGCAAGACCTGATGATGCAAATTTGCTAACCAAGGTTTATGCTTAAACATATAATTTTATTAATTAGCTGCTGTTTGTATCCTATTATGTTATTCCTTAATAGCTTTTTTTCTGATGATCTCTACCTTGGAAAGTTATGGGAGGGTTTTGAAGTTCATTAATGAATTTTGACCAAGATAAAAAATAAAAAAGTGGGACCTCTATAATGAGGAAGTTTTGAACATTATGTACAAGGTGAAGACGTTTTCTTTGTGATATTTTTGAAAATATGCATTTGAAAAAATTGTAATTATGCCATAGAGAAAGATGCGGAAGGCTTCTAGTTTAAGGAGACAAGTTAAATCTTCGAAGCATGAAGCCTTATGGATGACATTGTGGTGATATTAAATTGTGGATATTTTGTAATTCTGCTCAAACAGATGATAAATAGACAATATGCTAATAAAATATAGACAGCATAATGACAGACGACAATGATCCCATAGCAATTGGATTAAGAAATGGAATTTCAGATCCTTTTGATGGATATATATTAAGATGTTAGCAAAGTATTGACAAATTTTCAAGTCTGGATAAAATCAAGATTCGTTTTTAATTCCTACTAGTAAGAGCAAACATTCTAGGTTGTTATCACTTTTAGCAGTAGAGATTCAACTGTAATTTCTCCTTTGTATGACAGTAAATCTCTTTGGAATTATAAATTCGATGCTTGGGTTAGTTTGCACAACAAACATATCCTTGGATTGATTAAGAATTTGAATTACAGCCTTATTCTCGTGCACTACACTGGCTTCTTCAGCTTTAAAACCTTGACCTTCACATTGTTTTGTACTTTCCTTGACAACCTCAACAAATCTAGCCTTCTATGGCCATGACATTAATGTGATGTAGATTCGCCTACACAGTAGCTTCAATAGATCAAAGCAATAAAACCAGATTTGGAAAAGAATCAGGTGATATCAATTCTGGCCTTTGTTTCCACGACATCACCGTTGTCGTAGATTCATNATGGCCATGACATTAATGTGATGTAGATTCGCCTACACAGTAGCTTCAATAGATCAATGCAATAAAACCAGATTTGGAAAAGAATCAGGTGATATCAATTCTGGCCTTTGTTTCCACGACATCACCGTTGTCGTAGATTCATGATTAGCTTCAGTGGGTAACACATTAAACCCAAATTTGAAAAGAATCGGATGATAGAGATTCTTGAATAGGGATTGGATCACCTATGATAGCAGCTGACCATTGTTTCAGGAATGTATTCATCTCAATTAAGCTCATATTGATAGATGCAAATCTTCATGAATAGACTTGAAATCTTTATTAGTAGACTTGCGATCTTTATGAATAGCCTTGAAATCTTTTGAGGAAGTTTCAAATTTATATGCAAGCTCTTTGGTGCAATCAAGGTCATTAGATGAAAGAAGGATAATGAGGTGGCACAACAATTGAATTCTTTAACTTTGATAGCCTAACTACTACAGGACAAGTTTGGGGAAACACTTCTGTACACATAATGCAAACTCTAATCCTGGATTGGAGAAGAAAGAGCTTTTTTGGATTGGACAACAGAAGAAAGATCTTTATGGAAGTTTATGGCTAAAATACTTGTAAGAGTTTCGGCTTAGGGTTCAGAAAAGTCTAAGATAGTGTCAGTGGTCTGAAGTTCAATCTTTGTAGGAAGACCATGGTGTACAATGGCAAATGATGATGTGAAATATAGTTTTGGTTTATATTTGTGTCAGTTTCGGCTTACATTGAAACTTTGATGGTGGAGGGTTGAAAAGGGGTAGTTTCAAGTATGGTTGCTGGTAGAAACTATATAGAAGAACAAGAAGAGGAAAAAGAAGATTCTTGAAAGGTGCCAGGATTCCCTAGAAATAACCCCTGTAGGTAATGTTGCATATTTAATGAAATAAGAGCTTCACAAAACTCTAAAACTTAATTCATCTTCATTCTACTAAATTCAAAAGAACGCATGTATTTATGGAGGCTGTCAAGTTCCCTTACTTTTAGTGTGATGTAGAAAAGGCGTAGCTACACTTGACTCCTAAAACCTAAGAAGCACGGACACATGACACGGATACGACGCGGTCACATAGACATGATATTTCTCAAAAAAGTAGGACATGAATACGTTGGGCATACGGAATAAATGATTATGTTTTATATATAAAGTTATATAATTTATCACAAAAATTTAGTGATAATGACATTATTCACAAGAAATGAGTACTTTATGATAAATAATTGTTATGTTTAGTCATCTAGTGTGAATTTTTAGGCTAAAACATCATAATAGTTAATAATCATCAATTATTTTTAAACAACCTGAACTCAACATATATAATTTAAATTATTGTTATTGTTTTCTAAATTTCTCTTTTTTAAAACTATTATGCATTATTTACTTTTATTATTATATTGAGTACGCCTTTAATATGTCTATTCTTGATAATTATATATTTTGTCGTAACATAAGATACTTATTGTCAAAATTTTAAACATTGTTAATCACTTATCAAAACTTGTTTATTTAGGTATAGTTTAAAGTGTCTGATACATCACTAAAGAAAAAATTAAACTTTTATCGTTTAATTATGAACACGGATAAAAGATTATTGAACACGTGTTCGAGAGTTTTCGAAGAGTGTCGGTGTCTGACACGTGTCCGACACAGATGCGTTTCCTTCTGAAATGTCCGTGCTTCATAGCCTAAAACTAATAAAACAGTATCAATTTGTTTTCAACAGCTTATTAAGCATAAATAAATTCCAATTACACATGTTTGGTTCCAAACTTCATGAAACATGTCGTACAACCCACCACTTCAAGCTCAATTCCATGTTTGTTTGTCTTCTTGTGCACAGTTTTGCATCACATACTTATAATGTTTGTTCAAATGAAAAAGTACTAAAATCTATGTCTACATTATTCTATTTTCCCGTTAAAGCAGTGATGATTATGATTAAATGTTCTAAAAAGGCAAAGATGTGAAAAGAATGGAATTCTGAGGAGACTGAATTGGCTTCAAAACTTTTAAACATTCCTTAAAAGTTTTAGCTTAAGGTGGTTTTTTTATGTATCCCTTGTACACTCTAGGTGAACCCATAGCCTACATGGCTTTTTCAAGCCATGGATAGCAGTCCCGACCTGTAGCTGGCCTGACACCTTAAACCTTTGGATGTGGGTTTCATCAAACCCATGGGGGGTTGGGTTCCAGTCAAGCCATACCCGGATTAGTGAGGCAAATGTCATTTGTACCCCTGAGTTAAACAAGCATAGTATGGATTGGATTAGTTAATGGGCAATATAGTCATTTATGGGACAAATATATGATGATAATGGTGATACATCCATGGGTCCCGCATGTGTATAAGTTACATACCAAACACGGGTATGGATTGGATTCGTCAATGAATCCTGTAGAAACAAAGATGGGGGTTGGGTTTGGGGAAACCAATCCAATCCCTTCCCCAAAAGATCATCCAAACAAGCCACTAGTACTCTATATTTCTTGATGCAGGAAAACATGCCTATCTTTTACTCCATCATATGGTTACCTTTTGAATGTGTGGTATTCCCATGTCAGACATGGCATATCTGGCCATGGTCGTGGTTTATTTTAATGCCTTGCCAAATTTTAGGTATGTATTTGATAGCAGTTTCTGGCAAAAGCTTTGGGGAATGCATTCCTAACCGGCTACAAGTTCCTTATAATACTTTCTCTATTTCACCTTTCTTGTAAGAATAAATCTTTTCTGTATGATATTTGGTAATTTTTTGGATGCCATTTTGTGATAATCTTGGAAAGTAGTATGTGTATGCTATAAAGACGTAGCGTTCCTATTGGTTACTAATATTTGGAACATTGTACATATATGCTAATTCTGTATCCGATTTTCATATTTGGAACATTGTACAAATATGCTAATTCCATATCTAATTTTAATATTTGGAACATTGTACATATATGCTAATTACGTATCTGATTTTAAGGATATTGTTCTAATAATGTTATGGTTCCTGTAGAGGTTTTGCAAAATGTTTCTTAGTTACTCTCATTGCTAATGGATCAAGGCTGGGCATAGACATTCCTTTTTAATAGCTATTACAAGGATTCTACTTTCAGGCCAATCTGAAGAGGGGGAGTGGGGGGGTGCGGGAAACCTTTCATCCATCACTTATTAACTTTTTGTTGCTCCGTCAGTATGACTAGATATATATGGTCTCTAATTGGAATATTNTAGCTATTACAAGGATTCTACTTTCAGGCCAATCTGAAGAGGGGGAGTGGGGGGGTGTGGGAAACCTTTCATCCATCACTTATGCTAGCAATATGCAGTATTAACTTTTTGTTGCTCCGTCAGTATGACTAGATATATATGGTCTCTAATTGGAATATTTTTTTAGGAGAAGCACAAGGAGAACAAGCACAAGAAGGATAAGAAGGACAAAGAAAAGAAAGAAGGTAAAGAAAAAAAAGACAAAGAGAGGAGTGAAGAAAAACATAGAGAAAAGAAAGACCGAAAGGACAAGCACAAACACAAGAAGGACAAGGATAGGGATAAAGAGAAGAAAAAGACCTCGGATGAGAAGAAAATTGTAGGGCAATCAAATTGTCACAATGGCAATAAGCTTGATCCAAACCACAAGCAGAAAGATGGGGATACAGATTCCAAATTTTTGCTGGATTTGGGCAACAGAATCAGAAATGATGATGGAGCAATGGAAAGCAGAACAGTTCAGAAAACTACTCCAATTCAAAGAAGTGCTGAATTGCCTAGAAAGATGGTTGAGAGCAACATTGGCAAGTTGGATGAAGGAAATGATAAGTTTAAAGAGAAGAGAGAAGACAACAGAAAGATTGGTGTGCCAGGTAACAAATTTCAGGCAAGGGGTATCGAAAATGGTTTTGTTCAGAGTGTCAACGAGGGGGAACAGAGGAAGGTTGAAGGAGTGGCTAGACTGGTGGGAAAGAATCTTGAGATGCAAATGGAGGGAAAAGAAAAGAGTAAGCCTAAAAATATTGATAGTAGAGGAGATAGAAACAAGGATAAAGACCGAGAGAAGAAAAGCAAATCAAAGGATAAAAAAAGGAAAAAAGAGAAGAAAAAGGAGGAGGACCCAAATAAAGAGCAGCTAAAACTAAGAGAAAGCGGCAATAATGATGTAGGTGTTCATAGTGTTAAGCCATCATTTCTTTCAAAGGAGAGCAATAAGAGTACTGTTAGCAATGGAAATCTTGGCAAGCGGAAGGAGCTTGAAATGAATGGATTTTTACATGGTGAGTTCTTTCCTGTAATGTAAAATTTTTTCACTGCAGCACCTACACCACTGTCCAGTGGATAAAAACACAAATTCTGCCATGCGTTCGTCCTGGAGGACAGTTATTGAGGCATAGTGGTGTTTGCACAGTTTACTACCAAAATCACTCATCATGTGTGAGCTTTGACAAACACTGTTGTGGCAAATGCTTTTTGGGTTAAAATTTTTTCTTACTTCTCAATTGCTGTACAGGCTGACATTTGACACTAGTTTGCTGCTTCTTTTCCAGGATATTTTATGGGATTAAATTCTTTGTTCTGAAAATATAGTCTTATTAGCTAGTTTTTCATGTATACTTTGTTCTTTTGACTTTGTTACAGACAATGACACACGGCCAAACAAGTTGGCGAAACATGTCACTTCCTCTCACCAAATTGTGGAGCATGGAAGGAAATTGGAACCTTGCCAAACTGTGTTCCCGTTTCAATCTGATAAGAAGGGGACTGTGACAGCCAATAACCAAAAGGTGAATGACAAGGTTTCAGCCTATCAGCCCCTCTTGGAAAATGAAAGGAAATTAGGACGGAGCCAGACTGCTGTCCAGTTTGCATCCAAGGGGCAGGGAACAGTCGATAACCATAAGGTGAATGACAAGGTTTCGTCTCATCAGCCGCTTGTGGAAAGTGAAAGGAAATCTCAGCTGAGCAAAACTGCTATTCAGTTTCCATCCAAGGGGCTGGGAACAGTCAATGACCAGAGAGTGTTTAACAAGGTGTCATCCTTTCAGGCTGTTGTGGAAAATGGAGGAAAATTAGAACCAGGTCAAGCTGCTCTTCAGGCTTCGTCTGACAAGCAAGGGGGTGTTTCTAACAGTAAGGGGGCTAAAAGAGAATCCAGGATTAATGGTTTGACGGAAGCTCAACAACCAACTGTTTCCTCGGCAAGGCCTACATCTGCTCCTTTAAAAGTTAAACAGAGGGCTGAGGCATCTTTGAAACCTCCACATCCAGATTCCAAGTATCTGAGCCAAATAATTCATGTTCCGAAGATTGAGTGGTCCGACTTTGATGACCAGGAGTGGCTATTCAACAGCAAAAATCTCCAGTCAAAGAAGCCCAAATTGGGTTCTTCTGTGGTTGAGGGAACAAAGCAGGTCTGGGCAGAAGCTCTACCGATAGAATCTGCTGATGTTACTGCCTTGCCATATGTCATTCCTTACTAGTTGGCATCATTCTTTACAAGTTGGCATTGGATGAATTTGATTTTTGCTTACATCAACCTCAACTTGGCATCGTTTTTTCTGTCGAGGAAGGTACCAGGACGGCCTTGGAGCTGGCGCTCCATCCTGTATTTTCTTTCTAGATTGCTCCGAGATGGGTTCTCTGGGGAATTAATTGAACTGATCTTTGCTGCCATATCGGATTTTGCAGTCCTGGAAATGTTCTACAAGAGTTAAAAGTCTCTTGCACCCTATGTAGAACGTTCATTACATGTTCCCTTTGCAAGTGCATCATCAAAGGACTTGGTTTCGAGATGGGTTTTGCCTCTTTGGCGAGGCAAACCAGACCCACTACATAGCACATGGCTGGGCGAGTCGTCCAGACATCATATGTAAGCATCCTTCAGAGAATCGTGATACAGAGACAGGCAGACAGCCGAGATAGTGAGAGAGAGAGAGAGAGGGATTATTTGTTATTAGGATGTGGAGATGTTTCAGTATATTTAGTTTACATAGTTACTTTGGACTTGGTTGAACTGATACACAATTTTGATATATGTGACATGAAAATCATCTGTGCTGAATGTATTGTATTATAGAGTGAATAGAAAAGAGGCAGTCTTGTGATTCAATTCTTTTCTCTTTTGCTTTTTTGGAAAATGTTGTACAATACACAAATTTCATTTTGTTGTCTTATTGACTAATGGTTCATCTTGCCAAATGAACTTGAGTGTCATACNTGGAAAATGTTGTACAATACACAAATTTCATTTTGTTGTCTTATTGACTAATGGTTCTTCTTGCCAAATCAACTTGAGTGTCATATTATTTTCGGATATGAAAAACACAAAACACTCAGAACCAAACCCACCTACCGGACCTAACCTTCATATTTGGGTTGTATTATTTTGAGAACCTTCATATGTTTTTTGATAAAACTTTTTATCTGTATTAATTTTTAAGTTCGGTTATATAAGCATTGTTTTTCCATGATGCTCTATATCATATGTTTTTAAGAAAAAACTTGTTTTGTCTTTGTAAATCTATAACTAAAAGTCAAAGTTTCTTTCTTACAATACCCCCTTGGAGGTAGTGATTGGATTTAGGCTTATTGCTCTTCTTCAACTCTTGTGACTATAGAATGATCATAGGTAAAGTATATTCAAAATATGCATGTATTTTCTTGTGTGTTTATAACCAAAAAAAAATCACACTTTGTTTTTGATAAATCCAAAATCTTTTTTGTAGCAATTTTTAATGAAAATAAATTATAGAATCATTTGTGTGGAAAATAAATTTAGTAATGTTACATCAAAAAGTCAAAAATACTTTCCATAATATCAATTAAATAAGATTTTTTTTGTTTTGTGTTTAATCTCAATAGGATTGTTTATTATTCATATCATAGTTGTGTTATTTAGGGGAATCACATTTTATACTCCCCAAAAATTAAATTTACAATATTGCACCTTCAATGTATAAAAAATGTTATAATATGTTGACTTCTGACTCATTCTATCAAAAATCACTTTATTAAGTTTGATGGAATAAATAATAAGTTAATAGAAGGGACAACAATAATTTTAGGAAAAAATTTATTCACACCCCCTGTAATTAGGTCTAAATTTAATGACACCCCCTCTCAATTCTAAAACTTTACTACACACTCTTCTAATTTATACTTTTAAATCAATGATTCCTTTTTAATGGTCACTTTTGTCTCTGTCAATTGAAAAAGTAGCGATTTGATTAAATATTTTGTAAAAATACCAAAATTACCCTTTGTTATGTAAATAGATTCAAATGCCCACAATCATTTCCTCATTATATGTGTCCTAGCCAGTCAGGAAACCTGATTTCTATTATTATATTATTCCAATAAATTTTTACCATTTTAAACCGTTGCATGATAACTTTGCTATAATATTAGTCATCATATTACCACTCATTTAGTTACATAATTGAGTTTTTATAATCTTTATAGTTAAAAATAATTTTTTCTATAATAAAAATTACAGTCGATAAAGTCAATGTCAAAATTCCATTAATTTCTAATTTCTTTGTTATCGTTTGTCTTCCACAACGTCACCCAACCACTTTTCACGTATCACTATTTATATATAAAATTTAAATATTATTTGATAAAATTTAATACTAATTGAATAAATTTGGTCTTAATTTGATAAATTTAAATATTAATTTAGTATTAATTTAGTGTTGATTTGATAAAATTTAATATTAATGGAATAAATTTGAATGTTGCTTTAATGAAATTGAATGTTCATTTAGTGTTAATTTAAATAAATGACATTTTTTTAATAAGGTTAAATGTTAATGGACTTTAATATTCTATTTAATATATTAAAATTTAATTTAATAAATTAAATGTCAATTTGGTAATGATTTGATGAAATTAAATAGTAATTTAATATTAAATTAAATAAATAATATTAATTTAATGAAATAAAATATTAAATTAATATAACTAAATGCTAATTTGATAAAATTAAATATCAATTTTGCGTTAATTTGATGAGATGAAATGTTAATTTATTTAATTAAATAAAGGGCATTAATTTGACAAAATTAAATATTAAATTGATGAAACTAAAGGCTAATATAACACTATTAAAAGGGAGTGCATTAAAATTTCAGAATTGGAAGAGGGTGTTGTTAAAGGTTGGTCTATTTACAAAGGGTGTTGTTAAAGTTAAGTCTATTGGGTGTGAATAAAATTTATCTTATAAAATACTCAAGGATATTTTTGTAAATCAACAGTCTCCGTTACCATGGTAACAAACCCTGACAGGAGGTGAAAGTAAAGTTTCAGAATCGGGAGGGGGTGTCATTGAATTTAAATTTAACTACTATGAATGGAATTTTTCCATAATTTTAATATATTGATAATGCAATATAAAAAATTTAATTTTTATGAGTATAAAGTGAGAATTATAAAATTGTTTAAGCTATAAAGCGCATTTTGCCCGGGTTATTTTGGAGAACTGTTGGATCGCGAGGATGGGTCCATTTTGAACTTACTATTATACATTCCGGAGTAGAGGTGTCCATATGACACAAGGATACAAAATTAGAGAATTTAAGTATTTTTTAAGTCACTAGTAGGTGCTCACGTGCATTGCACGCGAACTATTTGAATGTGAAATATGTATATTAAAGTCGTGTGTCAATTTTTCTAAAAACAAATGTTTACCTAACATTTTTGTGCTTATACACTTGAAAACCCATAATTGTGCTGAGTATTTATAAAATTCATTTCACAAAACCTACCTTTTGCCCAATTTTACATGAATCATCACTTGATAGCATACTTATAAAACAAATGTATTTCATGCCTACATTCAGAAACCAACTTCCACCTTTCTTGTTATAGTTCAGTGTTCTTTTCTTAGCCTTCTAAAATTTGATCTCATGGCACTTCAGCATCTACTTGAGCATGTTGTTGCGATCTACAGGTAAAAAGATTTGTTATTAATGGGACAAAACTATATAGAGTAATTTGTTGTCTAAAGTAAATAAAATCATCAATATTAGTTTTTCAACAACCATAGTCACACAATATAATAGATGATAAGCAATGCTATGGTGAGATTTGTGTAACTGCAACCAAAAAACTGATAATTTATAAGGACCTAAACATTACAAGAACCTAAGCTAAAAAATCACAGGCCTACTTGCTTTTAGACACCATCAAAGACCAACCACATCCATGACCCAACTCAATTTAAATTCCTTGTCCAAATATAATTGGAGTTTAAGGAGATCCTGCAATATTTTTTGAAAAAATTATGCCTACTTTAAACCTAATTGCTTCAAATTTGGGAGAAATATTGGACTAAAATACTATAAATCTCCATCAAGACAGCATAAAATTAAGATAATGGGTGGTGTGGTGGTACTAAATATGATTGGTGGAGGTCCAATGTTGTTAGGATTATGGTGGGCTAGGATAGGTTTCATGGAAGTACTTCTAAGGAGTAGTGCTTAACATGACAGGCTAAATATTCCAATAATAGATGTTAGGGTCATCAAGAATCTGTCAAGAATGAGACATTTGTACTGTAGGTTTTTCCCTTTTTCTAATATATGAATGCATGAGCAGGCTTCATTGAAGCTTGATATGCCCAAATTGGGTTGTCATCATTTCCAGGAGAATATTTAGTTAGTTTGAGAAAAAAGTAAAAAGCATACAACTTATTTGTTAAAGCTTAAATTACCTTTACCTAGGATATCATCTAGGAAAAAATAGTCCATGGTATAAAATATCTTGAGGGCCACATGGGCATTTGCAGCAAGCTATTATTTAAAGTAATGAACTAATTTCACAACAATCAATTTATTTATTTTTTTAGAAGCAACAAATGTCAATTAGAAAAAAGCAAAAAAAATAGACTAAAAAAAGTTTTTATTCAATACATCGTAACGAATATTATGACAAACAGAATAAGAAAAAATGCATCCAAACAAAAATAGTACTAAAAGTACATATTTTCATAACACCAGTAGATATTTTATAATAGAAGAAATTAATTTTGCTGCTAAAAAGTGCCAACATTTCTCCCAAACTTCACAGTTATGTACCGACAAAGGGACAAAGCCTAAAAAACAAAACGTCCTTGGTTTTACTCTTTCTAAGATTTCCTGAACATTTTTTTATTGAAACAAGCTAATCTAAAACATGTGTAATTATACGTTAGTTTAATGTGCACAGGAGATTTCCAATGATGTTCTCACGTTCATCAGTTCTAGCTATCAGAAAACATGAATAAACAAGAGCGCATATTTTAGAGGGTGATATGAAAGAACATACTGAAAAACTCTATGAATTGAATCCAAAACTCTCTCAAATACATCATATAGGATTATAATAATGAAAAGAACAAATATATTTGGTAGCTTGAAAATTATGGAAGACAAGAAAAGCAAATTTTTGACTGATGAAATTTCTCTCGTTGTGATAATAGTTTATGCCAAAAACTTGAAATCCCAAAACTCGATAGATCTTAATTTTGTAATGTGACGCAATCTAAAATCTAGTAGTGACTTCTTAGCATCTAGTCTAAGATTGGAGCATTATTTTGTTAGCTTTCATGTCATCCAACGTATATCACAAGAAAAGATATTTTTAATCATATTTTCAAGTTTTACTTCATTCCACATCCAAAAACACAAAAAGTGAAGCATGACAAACCTTGCTCAAATTTGAACTTCTTCCCTAAAATAGTCAATGCATGCAGACAATTAAGTTATATACATAATTTCATCTACGATACAAACGGGAATTTGTTAAAACATGTCAAATTTAAACCTGGAGCAGTAATTACAGAGCTAAGATAGCTCGTTCATAAAGCAGATGGCTCGTATTCGACTCATAGATTTTGAATCCATCTTTTTTGCCCCTACACAAACTCAGAACATTTACCATCTATAATTATCTTTTCCCTCTAAAATGTAACAGAGCTAAGAAAATTAAACAAATCTAGTTCACTTGAAATACCTTAATTCATAAAGAAATTATATTTCCACACCAAATTTATACATGAAAACTTTAATCACACAATAACCTAAACCAATGGCAAGCACAATCAAAACAAAGATG